GGGGGGGAATTTCTGCCCCGGGCGCCCAGAACTCTGGTTACGCCACTGCTGTATATAACATATATCTTAAAGCGGAACTACAACTTCCTATATACCCCGACAGCCAAGATGCCAGGAGGTGCCATCTCAGCCTCCCTTTGGAGTACAGTTGCTATGGTGCTGCACATGTGGTCAGCTATGACACCAGGTATTTGAGTGCTTGAAAGTTCGGTTGAGAGCTCAAATAAGCACACCGGCAACCAGTTGGCATGCCTTAAAAGTAACTGTTTCAAGAGACAATAAATTGGTGGGTAAAGTTCCTCTTACGTAAATGATAAAAACATAAAAAAATTAAAACAGTCCCTGCACGGCTGCCCCCTTTCTTCCCTGGCAACCTCCATGCACAGCTCTGCTTCCTAGTATTGTATGATGATGCCGATAGCTGTCCCACTCCCTTGTCCTGGATTTAGACATACCTTATGTTAAGATCAAGGCTGGACAACTGCGGCTCTCGAGCTGTCCTTTAACTACAAATCCCGTCATGCCTCTGACTCTGGGAGCCATGCCTGTAACTGTCAGTCTTGCAATGACTCATGGGACCTGTAGTTCCACGACAGCTGGAGGGCCGGAGTTGCTCACCCCTGAAACCTAAGGCCCCGTTCACATATAGCGACATACCTTTTGCAGCGGATCCGCACGGCCGGGATAGCGCGACTTTCGGGGCGACGTTCCAGCGACGATCCAGCGACGGTAGCGCGACCTTCCCCGTCGGTTGTAAGGTATGTGCGGGCCTCGTGGTAGACCTAAGTGTATATGTTTGTACAGCACGCTGATGCTTGATGATGATGAGCAGATGTTCTGCATCTGGTTTATGGAATGGGTGGCAGAGCCTGCGGTGCTTCTGTTTTTAGGCTGTGATTGACATGAGACATTTTCCAGGATTTGCAGTAGGGATGCGTCAATACCGTTTTGTTGGTATCGAGTACGAGTACCAATATTTTTTTTCCAGTACTCGCTGATACCGAATACAGATACCGGAGGCCCCATCAGCCCTCGTTCACACCTGAACGTTTTGTAGCGCGTTCTACGCTCGACGAACGCTCTACAAAACGCTCAAAAATATAAATCCCATTGTATTCAATGGTCTCGTTCCCACCTTGGCGTATTTCCGCCCGTCCCTAACGCGCTACAAAACGGCCCACGCCTGAAAAGGTACAGGTACTACTTTGGGCCGTTTTGTTGCGCGTTTTCATTGGGATACAGCCAAGTAGCCTTCGGAAATGCGCGTTTGTCGCGCAACTTTTTTACCGCGGATCGCGGTAAAAAAACGCGCGACAGGCGCGCATATGCAATACGCCTAGGTGTGAACGAGACCTTAAGGAAGCCAGGCGGCGTGTAAAGACTCGTCACCCAACTTCCCAATTAGCAGGGAAGCCGTGTCCATGCTCCCTCGTCACCAGGTGAGGAGGGAGCACGGAGCCGGCTTTCTGGCCATTTTGGAAGCCAGGCGCGGTGCTTACTAATTATTCGAAAAGCTGGCCAATCGGGAAGCTGGGCAAGGTATCATTACACGGCGCCCGGCTTCCTGATTGGCCAGGAAGCTGGCTCCATGCTCCCTCGTCATCAGGTGACTAGGAAGCATGAAGTCGGCTTTCTGGCCAATCAGAAAGACGGGGGGCGTGTCATGACACGTTGCCCAGCTTCCTGATTGGCCGGGAAGCCGGCTCCATGCTCCTACGCAGGTAACAGGTATGTCTATTACATTAATTTTTTTAAAATAACAATTGCAAGGGGAGAAGGGGGAAAGGAGGGGGGAGAAGAAGGGGGAAAGTTTGCGCCGCTGTATAATGTACTATATTGCACACCACACTTTTTTTTTACTTCCACTGTGCCAAGTTTGCTCCCGTGATGGACTACAATCTCAATACAAACTAGTAGTCCATCACTGGAGCCTTTTTTTTTCTTTTTTATCCGATTAACCGATTAATCGAACTTA